GCTCGCATAAATGTATGTCTTTCTGAACGCTTGGAATAAAAACAAACAATTGTGTTGACGCTCGTGTCAAATGTAGCATCGTGTTCGATTGGTCATCAAGCTCTTACGTAATACTGCTTTGAATTTTTATGTCAAACTATTTCGTCAATATTCCGTAAATAAACAAGCGTTGCGACAAAAATAGAGTATTTGTGTGGGTGCAAAATGTGGTTGGCATTAGTAAATATTTGCATTGATACTTGTCAACGCGCATTTAAATAACAATGGATATTGCGTACCATTCAATTTAGAGCAACGATAAAATGGCTCTCACCTCCAGAGATGTTGGCCCTCGAACTTGTTCGTTCATCCATAGACATTAAAAATAAAATATGTGTTCGTTCTTTTGAAAAGAGAAGCAAAAAAAAACGTTTCAAAGCATACAGCATTGTAATCTGACATTCGATAGCTCATACTTTGCTTCCATTCTACGAGCCAGACAATTTTTTTTTCAGATTCTACGAATGAATGAACAAAATGGATTTTTCAATCACTAAGAAAGAACGTCGGGCAAATTTGATTTTATATTTGATCAAGCAAATAATACTGTTCGCATAATAAAGATAGACGCAAGTATCAGTGTCATCAGTTTTTTTTTAAACTGGAGGTCCGAAAATGACCGAAAAGTTCGAAAAACCCGAAAATCCGACCAATGGGAGGAATTGACAGTAAATTTTAAAATTGGCGCGCTGTTTAGTTTCGATTTGAGTTGTTAAATTACATTGACGTCCCCTTTGAAATTCGGGGCGCCACCGTCGGCTCAAAGAGACTTGAAGTCTTCACATCCTCACATTGCATCCGACACATCTAGGCTGAATACAAAAATGTAACGCTTTTAGTACATTTTAACGCAGAAAAATGTAACGCTTTGACCCATTTTTGTGGTCGTTTTCGTGTAAAATAGAAGGCAGATCATCTATTTCCAATAAAGAATACAGATTCCACATCCAACAGCATAATGTGAACTAGACCCAAAATATGTTTCGATCAAGGCTGGTCGGACGTCGGTCGGAGCCTCATTGTAACTTCTGACGTTCACCGTAAAAAAATGGAATAAAAATCGAAGACAAAAAAAAACCATAGCGCCCAATTAAAAGTCAAAATAAATAAGTTCAATGAAGATGCACAATTTATATGCTCATTCAATTTGACAATCCACAAACAACTCAGCCAATTTATACTTTTGAATGAAACGATCGGAATGATTTAAGCCGCTTGCATGGAATTATTGAAAATATTCATTTTACACAGATAAATAATTAGCAACCAGCTTCGTCGTTTCACATTTTATCAAAAGAGCACAATAATTTTTCGAGATCATTAATTTTCCATAGCTATGACTGATTAGACAAATTATACAGAATGATCAATAACAACGATTCCCTTGCTAACAAGCAATAATAAAAAAAATATTTCATTACGAGACAGATATTTCATTCAATTTCATTGTATAATAAAATATATTGGCATAGAAGTTGTTACAACTTTTTTATTCGATGAGAAAATGACAATGAAAAAAAAATGAAACGCATCATCAAATTAGAGCCGCTTAATTTCAAAAATAATGATTGTCACTTTATGTCAAATAGAGCAACTTTCTGGGGCGTTTAAGTTAACACGATATTGTGAGGGGTTTCTTTTCATTGAAACTTTCATATTTCTACTACAATTTTAAGTATGATCTAACATCGATATACACAACCAAGCGTACTGATCTCTTTTTGTTTTAATTCATTGTTTAATTTTGAAAAAAAGGGTCAAAAATTCAACCATATTCATCCAGCACAAAAGACAAATAATTGGTTCAGTCTCGCAAAATGATTTCAATTATTTTAGTTTCTTCAATGTTTCGCTTACTTTGGAGTGCTTTATCGAAGCTTAAATTCAGTTTCTGAGCTTAGATTTCGAGAAATAGAAGTAAATTAATATGAAAATAACATTGAACAACACGCACTTAGACTAGTCAAATCCAAAAACTTTTTTTGTTAGTTTTATTTGTTGTGGAACTTTTGATTACAATACAAATAATATAAAGTGGCTCTTTTGCAGGTACTCGGAACGAAATTTGCATTTTACTCGATGGATTTTTGTTTGGCCTGTGCTTACGTTGTACATATGTGGCAGTAGGCCGTGATAGGTGGTCAAATTCAAGTTGAACAAGAACCTCTTAAGGAAATGCGGGGGCAAGAGAGAGAGAGAGAGCGAGAGAAGTATAGAGAAAGAAAACCTAATATTGCAAGTAAAATATTAGAGAAATGTTTGATGTATGTGCTCAACATCAAGTGAACAATGAATGGTTGCCATGGATTCACATCGATGAATTGTACATTCTCCGATTTTGCTAGAACTTTTTTTTTCTGCATTCGTTCAATTTTTGATAGGAGAAATGGAAAGCAGACAAAGTAATGGTATGAATGAGGTTGCAGACAAAAGAGCAAAGAGTGGTTTTTCTTCGACAATATTTGCATTGAGCTAAGTCAATTGCATTGCAGGCTTGGTCGGGGCATCAACACTAACGCATACCATTTGCAATCCAATTTGATTACATTGGCATTTTCGCAAGCTAAAATTGTCGACAAATATGTTTTTATGTAGTCCTCGTGTCTGTTTGTGTTTGCATAGTATAATTTTCTTTCTTTATCTGTCTCTTTCTTTCTCCATTCGGTTCAGTCATTGCTTT